AAATTGGTTAATGGACACCAGGAATGATTATGAATTGTAATGATGAATAAACTATCTTGATTTGACCATTACACACTGTACACTACTACCGATAGTCAATTTTGCACCCCACAAATATGTATAATCAACTATGCTTCAATAAAAAATAAATGGAAAAAATATTTTTAAAATGTAAAAAAAAACTATAATGAAACAGAAGAATTAACAATTTTGAACATAAATTAAAATTATCAGGTGACATTTTTATAAATTGACCTTTTAAATCAATGTGAAACAAAAAAAGCCAGTGCACTGTAGGTTGCTGAACTCATGACCACTTTATAAAACTATAACATGTTTTTTTCATAAAAACATGTCTGATGTTTAGCTATTGTATGGCCCCTCATTTAGACTGGCTTGATCATTTGTTATACTGATTTCTAAAGTATATAACATGCTCTTGCAAACTTTTAAGTTTTCAGGATGACAAGATATTTAGAGATTAAACTAGTTTCTATCCAATTCCTTTGATCTAACATCTAAGAAGCTAATAGAAAAAAAGTCTTGAATCTTGGACACCTTTGGGCTTCTAGACCTACAGACTTATGTAATTAACTATGAGGGACTTGGGAGTGGAAAATAAAGGTAAGACTTCAAAGACTGAACAGGACCCTTGCAGAAAAATCACAATGAGAAGGCAGGTGGTGCACTTGGCTGCACGTACTCAGAAAGAGCCTGGAAATGTGGAAGGGGCAGGAAAGCTGTTCCAGATGTGATCTGACTCTCTGGAAGCACCTCTGTGAGAGACTGAGGTGGATGTAACCATGTGGCAATAGAGGTAGTGAGAAAACAGAAAAAAAATTCTATGGATTCCATGTGAGGTGTGAGAGAAAATAGAGTCAAATGTAAAGTATTATTTCTCCTGATTCATTACATAGAATGCATGTGTAAAACACAATCCAATAAGATGCAATAAAATGTGAAAACATTTTAAAAACATTTAGGAGAATAAAACGTGGGGGTATACATGTGACAGTCATCCTTGGAGATTATATAAGGCATGTGTTTTCTGCAAACAGACAAGCTGTGTTCAGATCTGGGACCTATGGAAAAAATGGCAGAAACAGCAGAACATGACCAACAAATGCTGGGCTTTACTCTTCCCTGCCTCCCTGCCCATTATGCACTGACTGACCTTGTAGGCTCTGGTTGAGGGTTTCTTCTAATGTCCATGACTCTGCTCCCTGCTCCAACTTGAAGATCACCTCTGATTTGGGAATGTAGCAGCCTGTTAATAAGAAACAACACAGAACTTTGTAAACCTGCTAAGTCAGGTCCTTACAAGAATGACAAGAGCTTGGCTTCAGAAGCTGTGCGATGAAGGGGCCAGTTAGAGACTGATGACATTTACATTCTCCACTCACATTCTCCATAAAATGAAATCTTACCTAAATAGAATTCAACCCTATAAGTGGTTCCTATATTTATCAACAAAGAAGAAAGTGGTGCTCCTAGGACTTACTATGGAGTTTCACTCACCCAACACCACCAGGCTGCTATAGGTCTCCAGCATCACATCCCTGCACAGGCTCCTCTGAGCATCATCCAGGTACTGCCACTCCTCCCAGGTGAAGTCCACAGCCAAATCCTCAAACGACACCAATCCCTGTAATGACACATTTCCCCTCAACTCAAATCATCAGCCCTGGATCACACGACAGGAATCTGGGAGGGCAGGCTTCCATGTGTGTGTGTGTGTCATAGGTGTGTTACATAAGATGTAGCTTCTTTGTACTCTACATGGTGGGAGAAAGAAAAATCACAGAAGACACATTCTGCCTTTGTAATAATTTATGAACTACTAAAAACATGATTATAAAGCTTACCTTATAGGTCTAGCATCATTCTTGTTGCTAGTGA